CCTATACGACTTAGGGACCTTCAAGAAAAGAGCCTATTCCTTTTTAAACGGCTGGCAATGCTTCTGCAATTCCCCTGGTTTCCCTGTTGTTGCAGTTTTTCATGGGCGGCGGTAGTCACTTAGCATCAGGTGAGGCGCATGCTCGTTTGCCCTCTCTCCTATAAAAAAAATTATTGCCTTATACGGCTAGTAGTGCAGAACCAACATTTGCTCATTAAGCTGCCGACATTTGCAGTATTTCTACAAGGTATATATATACAGGCTTACTTTGCAATAACTGGCCGGTAACGGTGAAGAAAGAGTAATCAGAAAAATCTCAAACATTCTGTCCTTTTTATCGTTTCAAATTCAAAATGCGTGGTAACGCATTATTTTAACTGTTTTTACTGCGGACGCACACATTCGTAAGGGTCGATGGGTAGGCAAAAACGTTGTTTTATTTATTTATTTATTTAAACTTCATATACACATGTGGTATATAGGTGGACTTGATGCCTTAGCATTCTCTACCAGTCTACCTTGGGATGATGCAGAGATAGAATGAAGTAGATGTAATAAAAGTTAATATGCGAATACTAAACTAAAATATCAAAAAAATATTTTTGAAATACGAGTATATGGAATTAAAATATATATAACATATAAATGGTATATATATATATATATATATATATATATATATATATATATATATATATATAAATTAACTGTTACTATGATGACTCTGCCAATTTATTAAGTAAGTGTTCCCGAACCTTCATCTTGAACGCGTAACGATTTCTATCCATCCTGATTTCGAGAGGGAGTGCGTTCCAAAGGAGAATAGATTGAATGTGTTAAATGAAACTAATTTTTACGGATTTTATCGCGTTTAATTTAACTTTTTAATTCCCGACGACCTTCAGTTTTTGAATATTGATTTTTGGTCCGATCTACGCAGAATGAATCAAAGCATACCACTGCAAGACTTCAAGATACTGTAATATCTTGAAGTCTTGCAGTGGTATGCTTTGAATGTGGAAAGAAGTCCAGAGGTATGGGAGGGACATAAGAGAAGAAGATTGTTCGTAGAGCGTAGGTTTCTCTCATGACTATCGCTAAGCAACTAAAAGTAAGGAGATAAGTAGGAAGGGGAAGTTGGAGACATCAGGATAGAATAAAGGGTGGTGAGTGCACGCAAACTACGGCGTTGACGAATAGGGTTGTTGTCCATAAATCACATTCAATTTAGTATTAGTTCAGTTATTTTCAAAAACTGCAATAACTGTGTATCATTATTTTAATATTTGAAACTTTAACTTTAAAATTTGGCTACACTTTGAAAAATAACCCTGTATATAATTCTTCTGTACGTGTCTTTGTCACTGAACTCCTTCTAAAATTTTGACTTTTAACTTCGATTTAGATTAAATTTTTGTGTGTTTAAGTCATTCTTTGGATGGTTTAGATTTAAATTGGGACCAGATAGGTGGCGCTGTTGTCGAGACCTAGAAATCACCCGTACGAAACCGGGGCAGATCCCTAGTTTGTAAATAAAAAATGACTAAAAACTTATAATTAACCCCAATAGAACGATCGCATTACGCCACAAAACAAATAGTGATGTATAGACAATAATAAAGGTGGAGGTAATTACCAATATCCGGGTATCTGGGTCAGCGTATCAATATTATAACACCCTGTCAGAGTAATTTCGTTTTGAAAGTCGTGTTGAACAAACGGGTCGCTCGAATTTACCGCTAGATGTGCTGTTCTAAATCTACCACATTCTTTTTCCTTTGCGGGTTTACAATATTGCGGCTATAAATATATGCGGCCCATACACACACACATATATCCCTTATTAAGAACAAAATGCAGATGCGTTGTCACCCATGAATAGAATGTCTCATTACTAGCAAAAAGAGTCTCCCGTTGCCTACATTCACCATACCAAACACAGCAGCATCAAGTTGCTATTTTACGGTGGTATTCAGTGAGAGCGTGGTTCTTCCCCGGTCTAGTTGACCTTTTGCTGACACGTCAAACACCGTACAAACACATATTGATGGAACTCACGTCTAAGCGCGTATTTTGCGTGTGTATATGTATATTAAAGCGATTACATTTACATTTTTTATGAGGTAGAGCCACGCTGCAGCTATATTATCGTTCTAGCACGAATGGGTCATCCACTGGAATAGGGCTGCATCAACAATAGCAGATTAATGTTGCTGTGTATCGTATGATGAGTGTAGAGAACTGGAGACCCTTTTTAATGGAAACGAGGCATTCTATCTTAGTCCTCACAGCTGACAACGCATCTGGATTTTGATTCTTAATCGAGGTGTGAGGTAGATGTCTATGGGCCACTGCCTTTACTTACCATCAGGTGGACTGTGTGCTCGTTTGTCATCCTCGATCATCACAGCTCTTCATCAATGCGTGCTGTTTTTGTTTTTTGTTAACTGTAGTAATATTTTAATACAGAATTCGAATGTCAGTTAACTGTCAGCTGTACTTGCACAATAAGGGCTAATAATTTTACGCTCACCAGATGTCGCTAGTTTGGACTAAGATGAACTTCACACAGCATCATTATAATTGAAAAGGTGCTATTTAATTGTAAGTTTGTCGGTTTCTATTCAATGTGTATATACACAAAACAATGCTTTAAGCTGTATTTTTTAATTATTTACTCATATTTAACTTTTTTTTATTATTTTTTAAAATACAAGTAGGTAATGCTATTAAACATTACTAATATTCCGTTTAACCACTTCTAGTAAGCCTAAAATGCTTGTGTTAGAAGTGGTTCACGACAGTAGTCGAATGGCGGATTCGAACCCACGACCTTTCGAAGAATACAGAATAATAAATATAAAACTAATGAAATATTAGTTTTATATTCATTATTACTAACTAATATAAAAGTAATATTTCTGAAAGAAACATTTATTTTTGTAACAAATTAACTCCCGCTATTTTATAGCGGGAGTTAATTTGTTACTGTCTGTCTGTCAAATATTTCACCTCATTTCTAAGTGGCGCCGCTCTGGTGGCAGAAAAAGTCGTGGATGCCTTCATTAGAAAGCAAGAGGGTTCAGTAAGACGTATTGCGACCACTTGACACACATTTTAATCAACTGTCACTCCGGACATTTAATAGATGACTGTGTGTTTCGTCCTTCACGCTTTACGTACCGCCCTGCTGAATAACCTTCACTGATGCCTACACCGAAACGATTAACTTATTGTAATCCATTTAATAGAAACCAAAAATAGAAGATGAAAACAGACGTTACTAACTAGGTAATAGGAGTTGTATTATACATAGGAGTCTGGGTAGATAGGCCGTGTTCCGGTCTAAAGGGTATAGGAACCAAGGAGTGGAGACCCTGTTCGGGTTACCTGTTGTATAGGGCAGGGAGGGATTTTTTACAGAATATGGGTGACAAAGGATCACACAGTCCACCTGATGGTAAGTGGATGCCGTGGCCTATAGACATCTACATTTAACCGTCACCTCTGAGGACTATGGTAGATTGCCTCGTTTCCAGTAAAACGTGTCTCCGGTTCTCTACACTCACCATACGAAACACAGCATCTTGTTATATTTGCGCATATTTTTTTTTATTTTGCAATATAGCCGTCGCGCGTTTTTCGCGAGGCGAATTATTAAAATCGATGAGGTCTTTCCTTAGCGTGAAAGTAAGTGCAAGCCGCCGGCTGGCACGGTCGACGACAGCCGGGTCGTATGTACATGCCACTGACGATTGTTTATATTTTCCCGAATACCAAACATAAACAATATCTTTTTTTTTATTAAAAATGACAAACGAATTTTCAGCGCACCTGATAGTTAATGGGTACTGCAGTGCATGTACACCTGCAGCCAACTTCGAACAAAGAAAACTACAGATGCGTCGCCACCTCTCTGAGATGAATATGATGGAATGTTTTCTTTTTTGCGCACAGAAGCAATGAAAAGGGCTACCCTCCGGGAAGCGGGGACGGGCGGTGGTGAATGCTCTAACCATACCACGACAGCCGGCCGCGTGGTTGTGTGGGACTCACTGCGAAACCTAATTGCCTACCCATTAAACACCAGCTGTGGGACTGGCATTGGCTTGTGTGGCCTTTCTGCCGAATCGGAAGCGACCCCCTTTAGGGAAAAGGTGGAGCAAATAAGATGGAACGCCTCATGGTCTGTATTTATACTGAATCTCTATAACGTTAAGCCCAGATCACAACAACGCAAGCACTGCTATATGCCGACAGAAGGCTATATGCTATAGTCAAGAGGGTGCTTTAATTATTGTGTTGTCATTTACGTAATTACGTTAGATTATTCAAAAGTCTGGAAGTGTGTAAAAACTGAATTGTAAAATTATATTGCATTCATACATACAAAACACGGTTGCAAAGTGTGGCGGATAAGCTATAGTCTCCCCATGAGGCAATTTATGAGGGAGGCCTATGATCAGCAGTGGACTTTAGTGTAATGGTAATGCATACAACATGCATTACATGCAGATCAAGTTAAAAAAAAAAACATTAATTATTTACAGCCTGTTGAAGTTCATCGTTGAAGATAGGCGTCCCACTAATATGTGCTTCATAACCGACATATTGGTAACAAGTGCCACGCTATGCGGACGGGTATGCAATCGCAGTTTTTCTACTGACCTCAAAAAGGAGACGGTACTCAATTCGACTGTATGTTTTTATGTGTGTTGCTTCATAACTTTTTTCTGGGTGAACCGATTTCGATGATTCTTTTTTTATTTGAAAGCTGGTGCTTCACATGTGGTATTATATATATTTGATCAAGGTCTGGCCAATAGTTTTTGAGTTATTCTTAATAATTTATATTGCAGTCGGTTGTACAAAATTTTTGATTTTTAATTATCATATTCTCGTTGTCGTTAGGAATACGCTGCCGTCCATCTTCTGGTCCATCTACCCTTCCGCCCTCCACGGGTACTGGACAATAAAAAGGATTTGATTTAAATAAATACCTTCATAGTGGGACTGCCTACAGTTTGTATGACATACGACAGTGTACTTGGCGACGAAATGATCCATAAGCATATTGCGAACAGCGTCACGCAGATTACCTAGAAATACAGCAATTATTAGAATTACATAGGCGTTACTTTGCGAAAACTAACCATATTTTTTTAATAAAAGTTAAATGACAAACAAACTTACAACCTACTGTTGTTAAGATGTTATGTATTACTGGTCATAATTGTCTTTAGCAGTAGAGGCTGGTAAGAAAAAAAACTGTATGCTTACCATAAAAAACAAATTAACAGCAATCACAATGGAACCAGCTAATCTTGATCCTCTTCCAGGTTTCTTATCCATGACCGGATCTGTCATCTTGAATGAAATACATTTTAATTGATTTAATTATAATGCTTAGGAGTCCCCATTGATATCGTAAGAGGTGGCCTACGGCAACTACCAGAAAAAAATTAGACCCGTATCAATAAACGTTAGCTCAGCTCAAGTACACTATTTCGAAAAAAACGTCTATCCTGGGAAGAACCAGCAAGAAACCCAACGGGACATTTGGTTTTAAAGCATAATTTAAAACATATTATTTGTAAAATTGTTATGAAAACATTTAGAAACAGAATGGTAGCGATAACCTCATTCCCAAGGATTATTACCAACTCTTTAGTAGTATAATAACCCCTACTAAACAGTTTTTTCTTAATAAATATTTTAAACCTTTTGATAGATAAGGTTTATTTCCAGAAGTGGACTTTTTGGCCTGATAAAGGAGAGAAAAAAAAACGATACAGTACAGTAGATACAACATACAACCTCATATTTGAGAGTGTGTTAAAGGAGGAAGGTTCTTCGAAATTATAAAAATAATATTTGCAGTAACTGTGAAACAGACAAAGGCTGTCGTGACTGCCGTTATATTGGCATCTCGCTCTAACAAATACAAATGTAATTAGAACGATAATTTATACAAGGACAGTTGTCAAGATCCCCAGGGTACGCGACACTGCCTTATGTATTATTCAAAAAAGGGACGTTCGCTGGGTTATTTGCGTCCATTTTGTAATTGGATACTCAAAGGTAATTTTGAGTACCTACTTTTTGATTTCATTGACGTGACTCAATGAGACTACGAGGTGCAAATTATGGCAAAGGAAGTTACATATGCCTAATTGTTTTTCTAAAATATAAGTAGCCAAGTTACTCCTCATAACATCAGCTATCTGCCGGTGAAAGTCCAGTCGTTTCAGAGATTAGATTTTTTTTCTCTGAAACGGCTTTTTAGTTAGAATAACAGATTTTTACTAAATGCATATGAAAGTACATACGGTATATATAACAAAAACACAATTTTTAAAATTTTTGTCTGACTGTTTGTCCCGGCTAATCTCCGAAACGGCTGGACCGATTTTGACCGGACTTTCACTGGCAGATAGTTGATGTTATAAGGAGTAACTTAGGCTACTTTCGTTCTATAAAAAGATTTAGCGTTCCGCGCAAAAAATTAAAACCCATGAAATTGTAGTAAATTCCACGCGGGAGATGTCGCGAGGGACAGCTAGTCACTAAAAACATTACATTTTAAATGTAAGAACCCCCAAAACAAAAATAACTGATGATCTTCAAACGACTGAACAGACTTTCTTGAAACATAGCTGAGAACACTCTCGATTAAGACACCTTTCAAACAAAAAAAAATCAAAGTCGGTTTATCCGTTCAGGAGTTATGATGCTAAAGACACACACACATACACAGATACAAAGTAACACACTACAAACTTATAATACCCATCGGTTTTCTTCGGGGTTAAAATGAAAAGTTAATAAAACTAGAACAACACGCATTGGTGATCAGCTATAATTATCCTATTCAGACTAGGTCATAATCATTATTGTATTGTATTTATCGATTTATACGTAGAAGTGGGTAAAAATCAAAAAGTTCATTACATTACATTAAAAAGGTTGAAAGCCCAAAAAACATTTTAAATTTTCTACCGACTTCAAAAATGTATTATTATAATTGTTGTTATTATTATTATGTTACTAACCCACATATGGATTTCAATTATCTGAAATAAAGAATTTATTATTATTATTATTATTATAAAAAGGAGCCGGTGCTCAATTCGACTGTATGTTTTTTTATGTGTGTTACCCATCGATCACTAATAAAAAACGTGTTACCTCATAACTTTATACCGAGTAAACCGATTGCGTTGATTCTTTTTTTTATTTGAAAGCTGGTGCTTCACATGTAGTCCCATATAAATATGATCAGGGACTGACCAATAGTTTTTGAGTTATTCTTAATAATTTATATTAAAGTCAGTTGTACATTTTTTTTAAATTATTGGTTACTAGTTATGGTGACTTGCTTGTTTACGGGAAACAGGTTTTTATTTCAGTTTGCTTTCAAAATATAATGAAGTAGGGACGGCTACCAACTGCGGTCACTAAAATATTTAAAGGACAAATGTTGGAGCAGTCAAAAATTTATTCCAGAAAACCGATGAATTACGTATCATGGACAACTTGAGCGAGATTAGGTATTAGACCAGCAGCAATGCAATATCAGTCACGACCAACTTTCCCTCCGCTCTCCGTTGACGTACAAAGTTGCCGATGAGTAGAAAAACTGTCGAGCTGATTACCGATAGAGCCTATTAAAGCTGAATATAGGCCTCCCCAATATTGCTTCATAGGGGGAACATTTTCTATAGTTGGGACGTTTGGCAAGGAGGTTGGCTACAATGACGCTGCTGCCCATCTCCTGATATGTTTTTGTAGGATAGGGTGACAAACGAGCACACAGTCCACCTGATGGTAAGCGGTTGCTGTGGCCCATAGACATCTACATTTATCCTCGTTTGCGAATCAAAATGCAGATGGGTTGTCACCAGTGATGCTTTTCCAGTAAAAAGAATCTCCGGTTCTCTACACTCACCATACAAAACACAGCAGTGTTAAGCTGCTATTTTACGCTAGTATTTTGTGAGAGAGTGGTCCCTTCCCATTCGAACCGACCCATTCGTGCTACAACTATACTACTAATATAGCTGCAGCATGGACCCTACCACGTATAAATTATTATTTATTTACCTCTGTCGCCTTTTCTCCCACAGGATAATATGGAATAGTGGTTATTCTTACACCGCCACTACACTGGGTCGACTGGATAGATGGCAATCAACGATGGAGAAATGCGACAGAAGCGAGAGCAAAAGTGTTTGCGATATACTTATTACAACCTGTGATAGTGCCACGCTGCAGCTATATTATGGTTGTAACACCAATTGGGCGGCTCCACTTGGGAAAGACCATACACCCACAGGCTACCAGCGTGAAATAGCAGCTTAATTCTGCTGTGTTTCGTATGGTGTGTGTAGAGATTCGGAGACGATTTTAACTGGAAACGAGGCATTCCAACTTAGTCCTCAGGGGTGACAACGCATTTGTATTTTAGTTCCTAATCGACGATAGATGTCATCTACATTAATGGGCTTTTTAGCATCTACTTACCGTCAGGTGGACTGTGTGCTCGCTTGCCACCCTTTAAAATAATATTTAATGAGAGTATCCGGGACTTTTTGCCACCAGGATGGCGCTAATTAAGTATGGGGTGAAATAGTTGTAGGTTTCATGGCGGGGACTTTAATTTTTCGGAAAATTGTGAGGATTAATGTTTCTGCCTGTAATTTTAGTTAAATTTTATATTAATTTGATTATATGAATAAACCTAACTACGGATGTTCCTAAATGTAGAAAAAATAAAAAATAGACTAATATGACGGCTATAAATAGTTTGTACAATCTTTCATATTGTAAAATATACTTAAAAAAAAGTCCCGATGGGCTTGTTGCTGGTTCTTCCCAGGACAAAGGTTTTATTCGAACCAGTGGTAAAATAAAAAAAAATTGTACAACCGATTTCAATAACTAAAATGAGAACATCATCAATGTAGTTACGCATTATTAAGGATAACTCAAAAACTATTGGTCAGATCTTGATCAAATTTATAATATGAAATCACACGAGAAGCACCAGCATTCAAATAAAAAAAGTATCATCAAAATCAGTTCACCTAGAAAAAAGTTCTGAGGTAACACACGTAAAAAATTCTACGAAACGGTTGGACCATCCCTGGAACTTCCCGCTTATTTTAGATCGCAACGCTCAAAAATATATTTTAAGTTTTGATTTTATGATTTATATTTATTGAATATCTTCGAAACAGCTCGATCGATTGACTTGAAAATATAATTAGCTCGAAGCCTCAACGAACACTTTCGAACGCAGTGTCGCACATCTCAATTGTTTTAAAGATATCGTAATACAGTCGAATTCAGTACCTCCTCCTTTTTTTAAGTTGGTTAAAACGACTTCCAATGAGAATTACATACGTCTATATTGAATAAAAATATTATATTCTATTCTATTCTACGCTCCCTGGCCCAGTACCTTAACAATGAGTTGCGCACGGAACAAGTAGTTAATTGTATGGCCTACAAATAATTGTTACGGGTCTGTATGTTTGTCCTTGTGAAATTTATGTATGTAAACTACCCCGACGATACAGAAGAAAATCCTAGTCTGGAGATAAATTTAATTAAAAATTCAAGAAAAAAAATGTGCAAACATTAAAGAGCAAGCAACTTAGACATTGTTTTGTATATTTACTCGTAGGTAAACATAATAATCTAGAATGGGATAAATTTATATTTAAAACGAAACTTTTTAATTAAAAATTATATTGCGTAACAAATATATTCACCTCAGTCCAAACTAGCGACATCTGGTGAGCGGCAAATTATTAGCCAAGCCAAATCATTGATGCTAATTGAAATCGAACAGTGGTTGCTTGTGAAAGTGTGCAATTGGTTAGTTAATACCTAAATTCCTTAACTTTATATTTTTAAATTGATTTATATATAATTTTTTTACTTTTCAATAAATTTATTTCTAATCGTGTAGTGGCGGTGTATGAATTTCCACTACCCCATATTATCTTGTGATTGTCGTAAGAAGCGACACGGAAACAAATCAGGAGACGGGCAGCAGCGTCTTCCTAATAACGACTAAAAATTAAAAAACTGCGGTTTACCAAATCCCTCGCCATGCGTGGCAACTATGGCAAATATCCTCTCTATGAGGTAATCTATGGGTCAGGCTAAGTTCAGCAGTGAACTTTAATAAGCTGCAACGGTAAATTTATTTTTTGGATTTCTGTAATCTACAAATAAATGACAAAACCATAGTCCCGTAGGCTCGTTTGCCCTATTCAGTCCAAATTTATTTAAAAAAAAAAACTAAGTCCATTCCCTTAGTGCTTACTAAGTTAATTGAAAAT